ATTTCCCAAAGCAGTCATACATCTGGAGTCTTGCTTGGTCTGATAAAAATCAATGACTCTTTCAGGGTAGTATATCTTTAGATGTGGGTGAGAGAAGAAGTAATTAATGAAAGAGGAATTGATGAGGGTATAAGGCAAATATGAAAAAAACTGAAGAGAAAAAGTAACATTTCTCCCTGTAATAAACCATGCCAACATGTAGGCTAAGCATAATTATGTATGTATATTTTTATCACTATGAATTCCAGAAATAGTAAATAGGAACAATTTATTATTTGACTCATGTGGGTAGATCATATGCCTTCATTATGTGTTTATTCTGTGCCTGTGTTTTATGGAACAAATAGATAGGAATCATCTCAATTTTTCAGTAATACGTTGCAATGTAACATGTACACATGGGTGCTTGGCAAACACTGTCTTAATTATGAGTTGAGAGAATATTACTATCTAATGGAAGCCAGTTTTAAAATGGGGGGCAGGGCAGAGTTTTGTTGCAGCATTAGCACAGATGGCTTGACTTTTTATGTATTGATCACTCTATGCCTGGCTTGACTTTTTATGTATTGATCACTCTATGCCTGCATTTACCCACTCAAAAATATTTTGGCAAGCAAGCACTTCCTTTTATTTAGGAAAAAAATACTATTTACTCATTATCCCTTCAAAATATACATAAATAGTTAAATAAATGAAAATATGCCTTGCTTGTTCTCATTTATTGTTATTTCGGTTAAAAGCAAGCCACTGTTGGTAAGCTTACTATGAATTATTTTAAAATTCATCTAGTTATCCTTACAATAGACCTTATAGAAGTTCTCTCTGAAATACTTTGAATTTCTCAAATATAAGTAATAAATTCAGACTATTTTATTATCACCATAAATGATTTATGACTTGCTGATAACATAATATACTTTATTTTTTTCTAAAGTATACTTTCCAAGAATTTTAAAGCCTAAGCTGATGCTTTGAAATTAATCTTGGACTTTCAAACATTTTAAGTATTTAAAACAATACAAAAATATCTGGAAAGAACAGAGTGAAATTGCCATGGAAGTAATTACCCATTGAGCATTTCAATTCAGACATTAGTAAACAATTACTACTGGTGGAGCTGACTTTGACATATCCCATTTGAGCTTTTGTGCACATATCTAAATGGGATTTGGCAGGTGGATAAAAGATTTATTGATTCCTGTTTAGGGGAATTGCTGTTGACTTGCTGTTTCAACAGGCTTTCAAATTAGGTTTGAGTCTTAGAGAACAAACTGAACCCTGGAATCCATTCCTGGCATTGGAACCCCCAAAATGACAAGAATAATAAGCCAGGGCTAAGGAAGGCTCTAAACTGCATGTAGAACAGCGGCTGTGTGCTGTTGCAGAAGCTCAAAGGGGAAAATGCTTTGGATGCAAATTAGTCTTCAAATACACAAGAAGTTTCTATAAACGGCAGCGTATATTAGTCTGAATGTGTATATACCTACGGGACTCACTTGCTGATTACTTGCTCCCTGGTACACTGAGCTTTGCTTTTGTTGCTTTGTCCAGTGAGAACACAGAGATCGGGGATATTTAAGGCACTTGTTTAGATGATGTGTGATCTGTCTGCTTAGAAACTGCTGTCGACCTAGGCCTGGCTAGGTGTCTGAAATTTTGCTTTGATTATTGTAAATAACATATCCTGAGTAGAGGAGCACTTGAATTTTGGGAGCAGAAATGTCTACCTAAAGGACCAAGATTAGAACAATAAAATATATTTCTAACTTACCTATTGAAGAGATCTAGAAAATATCTTGAGACAAGGAAATCTTAAACAAATTAATTCATTATAATCATAGAATTGGAATATTCTTTTGGAATCCGTTTTCCTCATTTTAGGAATGATGTCACTAAGCTATTTAGAGACCCAAACCAAACTTTCTTACATTGAGGTCCAGTGTGCCTTTCCTTTCCTCACTCGGAATTAGCGTAGGAAGACACAGTAATAGGACTGACGCAGGATCTGATGAGAGGCCAGGGCAGCTTAGAAATCAGAAATCAGGCACAGTGATTATCTACTAGGAGCAAGTGTGCCTTATATTTAACATAGTACTGCGACCTTTGTGCTTCTACTTCTCTCAAGCAGTCTTTAAGGTGTCCAGCACTCAAACTCTTGGTTTATTTTCAGGAAGCGTGGGAAGATTCATAACACCAATCTTAAGAAAAATACCATTTATCAACAATTAGCTAAGCTACTTATGTAGATGGAGACCACCCGATTAGGCTCGAGGCATCAGCGATTGTCTGCACAGCCTGTGATGGTTACAACCTTGCTAATTCACATGCTATGTCTCATGAAAACCTCTCCCCGCTTCTGCTCTATTTCCAGAAAGGTTTCAGAAAGTATCAGATACCTCCCCACGGGCCATGTCAGATCTAGCAAGCTTTTACAGGAAGCTCTCATTCTTTCTCTTTCTCTCCTACTCCCCCTCCCCGCCCCTGAGGGCTTCCCACTAATTACTGACCAAATGGTGGACTTAAGTGTGTGATGATAAAATATGCCAGTTTGCATCTATCCTTCTCAATTCTGTTTCTTAAAGCTGACATTCTTTTCTTTTGTGAAAACTAGAGAATGACTTTTAAAACTCACTTTCCTTGTAGCACATCTGTGGGAAAGGATTGACACCCCATAAACTCTGAGCACAATCTGAAAGTTTCATTTAACGCATTTGTTAGAATCAGGGAAAAAGAGAGTCAAAGGCAGAGTGAGACATGGAGGTGTGGGGCCCGAAAAAGTGGTTGCTGTGTGGCCACAGGGAATAGGGAGTGTAAAAAGCTTCTTGCACACATCGCCTCATCTATAAAAACCAAAACCACTTGGCATCTCTCTAAGTAACAAATGGATCTAAGGGCTATAGAGAAGAGTTGTTGGCAGGAAATGGTCCCCAGGGCTATGATATTTTCAGACTGTGTGCATTTCTCTATAATGCATAGATCATGGATTACAGAGCTCTGTTCACATATCTTTTCTACCTAAGGACTAAATGTTGCAGGTTCTGGATTGTATAACAATCACAATTTCTGGGGGTAAGAGAATAAATCTGGATTCTTGAGATAAGGAGAAATTATGAATTTTGATTTTGAGGTGCAAAGAGGAGGCAAAAGGTGTGAAGAAGTATTAAGAGGAACAAGGATGTTGGAGATGGTAATGACAGAGGAGACAGAAAGTAGTAGAGGAGAGAGCGGTAGGGAGCTTGGGCAGGCCTTCTCCCAGCTTTCAGGACTTTGGCTTTAAACGGAAACCTCTGTTCTATACAGACAAATAATAACTAATCTGTAGGTGTGAAACCTTTCTGTGTCTGAAACTTGCTATAAGCATGCACTTTGCACACAGCAGAGCCGAAAGCAAGATTCCTACAAACTGTAACTGATTGATTGGTTTTTGATCCCAAATCCATTTCCACTAGAGCACTGAATTCACTGGTGGGCTAATAAATCTGTGGGAAGAAAAGACTCTCAGCAGATATTGCAGCCACAAAAAACTGAGTTTAATTTTAAATGTCTGGTTTGTCCCTGAGCAAACCAGTTGTTCTGCTGCTTTGAAATGTGGAAGCAGCAGATTTAACTTTGTGCCATAGAAACTCTACCAAATAAGAAGTCTCCATTTTCTGTCTTACCCATTTGCAAAACTAAACTGCTCTCATGATTCATTCCTGACTACATGTTGACCCTGCTCTCCTCCCCAGACACAAACAAACAAGTAAACAAACAAAAGCAAGCAAATCCTTACCTGCTGAAAAGACAGGACCAATAGGCAAAATTTCAAAATCGTTTTTCAAGCCTGATACCATTTTAGGTCATAATTCCTGGCAAGGTTTACTTTGAGAGTGAAGTAGACACTTAATAGTGGACAAGATGTTAAAGGACACTCAAACCTTTTGATCTCAACCTTTGAGTCATTCACATTGTTTACGCCAGTTGTGCTTCTTCCAAGTAAATGGGGGCACTTTACTGTTACTTCATTTCAGTCTTATATCTGCTGTTGTAAAGTCTTCAATTGCTATAGCTTAGCAGAGGATCCTTTATGTTCTTGAAAATATTTAGGATCCTAGCCAAGGCCTAAAAATGAACTGCTTTGAGCCTCTTGTCAAGTTTAAGCTTGAAGCTATTGTATCCATTGGGTTGTTTTCATGATTATGATTTTTCTCTTTTTTCCAACACTGTTTAGGTTCTGAGCCCTAAATGTACTGACCACCAGCTGTAGCTCCACTCTGACCCAACCTTCCCAGTTTGGGTTATAACACTCATCTCAGACATTCCGGAGCTCAGCTAACTCCTCTGAATCTTTCTGCCTGGCCTGGGCCTGATTACTCTAAATTCCAAAGCAGGTGAGGTCCCGTCTCTCTTCTAACCTCCCCCTTTAGCTAGAACACGTAATATGGCAAAGACAATGCATCTCATGTTTTCGTAGCAATACTTTACCCCAGGGAATATTAGCCGCACTATGTACTTTAGCGGCTACTTCTCCTCACATTGTTGTTGTTGTTGTTGTTATTATTATTATTATTATTAATTTTATGAGGAGCAACCAGATGCAGTCTTGCTGACGTTGGTCAGAGAAAAGATGGCCCCCACCTCGCCCCAAGGCTGGCCAAGCCGTCTCTTCCTTTCATTAGTGGTGTAACCCTGTGTTCCCGCTGGAGCCTTGCTCGGAAGTGTAATCTTCCCACTGGGACCTCCTGCCGTCTCGCCTGGCTCATAGAGCTGAGCCTAAATGAAATATAAAATATTAACTGTAAGAGAAAACAAAAGCTGTTGCCTCCAGGACGGCTCTTGTGCCCGAGGCTTGGCCCTGTCTCCCTCTCCTCCAAGCCTCTCAGTCTCACCCCCAGCCTGGACTCTCGGTGGGATCCATGGGTTGAATCACAGCTCTGCAAAAACGAATTCCCTGGTCCGGTAACCCACCGCCCGTTCCCTTCTGCCGAGAGCGCAGAATGACCACCAGGAGGCCAGGAACAAAACACTTAAATGTTGCATTTATTAAGGAAATGTTATCTAAGAAAAAAAAAAAAGGTCAAAACGGTGTCACGAATGTCAAGAGCACTTTTGTGGCGTAAACCGTGCAGCTACGTAAGAGTTCTAGTCTGGGTCTTTGCCCCGGGCAGCTGAGGTGCCAGCTCCCGCAAAAGATCCAGTTATAAATGCAATAAAAGAAACAACTCACCCCGTTCACATTCGCAAGTTCCCCTCCCCCACCCCTTTTCCCACGATGATAAAACTCTAATCCCAGGCAGGCAAACAGGCCACTAGGGCAGACAAAGACTTATCAAATATTTGTATTCAAGCAAACTAACACTAAAATCCCTTAAAACCGCACGTTATAACTAATCAAAGGAATTTACCGCCTCTCCCGCTAGGGCTGGGAGAAGCGGGAGAGAATGGGCGCGAATTTGGACACGGATTTCTGTGTCCTCATTAGTTCTGTTGCGTGGTGTATATACAGATCACTTTCTCGGCCACCGGGCATTCAGTGCCGCTGGGTCTCTCCCCTGCCCACCCTCTCCACCTGCCCCCAGAGCTTGGCCCACCTGCGGGTGGAGAAGGGCCTTCGCCCGTCGATTTCCCCGCATCTCAAGCTAGCGACAGCTTCCAAAGTTTGCGCCCTAATCTCTGTCTTCTTGCCACTTGCTGCTGAGTCCAGAATCAGGGCGCTTTCCTCCTGCAGCAGGCATGGGGACTTTGAAAGACCGAGCGAGAAACAGGTCGCTTCATCCCGAAAGGCAGAAGTCGAGAGAAATAACTGACTCCGACAGGTTTGCTTCGCCCATTCTCGGATGGTGAGGGGGCGCGGTCGGTCTGGCGAAGTGGGGAGGCGTGGGGCGGCTGCCGCGGGGGCGGGAGAGACGGTCAGTAGGGCCCCACGACCACCGCCTCCACCTCCTTAGAAGGTCTCCGGTCCTTCACCAGGAAGTTGATCATGCCCTCGGACTTGATGAGAAGGTTGCAGCCGAGGAAGAAGATTCCGAAGACCACGGTGAGCGAAAGCACGCACATGACGGCGATCTGCACCACGCGCATGATGTACAGGCTGCGCTCGTCTGGGCCGCCCTCGGCGAAGCCGTCGTCGGTTACCACGGACGCCTGGGTGCAGCAGCGCACGGCGCGCTCCAGCGCCTCGCTGCTGTTGGCCAAGAACAGGCCCGCCACATCGGTCTGGTTGCCCAGAGCCGAATTCATCGCGGGAGAGGGCGGACGCCCGAGGAAGCGCGGGTCGGAGGGGTGGGAAGGCGGTGGCGCGGGAGGAACAGGTGCCGAGCTGAGCGCTCACTTGCAGACTCGCGCGCGCGCGCGCGCGCGGAGCGGCTGCTCGCTCTCTTCTTTCCAAAGTCCCCGGGCCGTGGGAATTTCCCAGGAGCCTTTCCGAGTCGCACCGCAGCCGGTCTGGTCTGCACGGTCTGCTCCTGCCCGGGCGGTGCTTGTTCTCGGCGCTTGCTGGACTGGGAGATGTTGGAACTTGGCGGGGTTGGGCCAGCAGGGCCGTGGGAGGTGCGGACGGCCGTGGGGAGGCTGCTCTGAGCGAACAGCGGCCTCTTCCGGCCGCGCCGCCGCTCTGCGCTGGCTGAGGTTGGGCGGTGGGGAGGCAAAGGGGCGAACCTTCTGGTTTTGCTTTTCTTGCTTCGCTTCTTTCCCAATTCCAAAGGCTAGGCAGAGGTCACTGTGCTTTTCTGCCTTGATGGATGATTAAATAGTTTCGGGCAGAGGAAGGGTTGCGACCAGCTGAAAGTTTCCTAAGAACTGGGTCACACCAGCTCTGCGTGTCCTTTGCCTCCCGCTCCTCTCACCTCTGGGCTGATGGAAAGTGGCGATGAATCGAAGGTGCCAGATGGTGCTTGCGAATGCACTGGCCAGCCGCCTGTGTCTTACTCTGTCTGGCCTGCGACGGATTTCTAGTGGTGTAAGGTTGACCTGGGAGTAGTTTTTAAAAAGCGATGATTTCGGGAAGAAAGAAAAGCAGGGAGGGAGTGAAGGAGGAAAGGAAGGAAGAAAGGGAGAAAGAAAGGAAACGATTGGAAGACAGAATAAAGTAGATTTTATACTGATTTTTAAGGCAAAGGAAAGGGTTTTGTGGGAAGAGGGTGTTGCCTTTGTGTGGAGGTGGTATCCAGAAGCAGGGTCACCTCGCTGGTAAGGGAGGGAAGGTGGACAGAGTGGCCATTCTTGTAATCTTAATTGCAGTTTTTGGACGTGCTTCCAATGTTTTTCTCTGCTGGCAGTAAATCAGTTGTTTAAGGGAATTGCTCATCACATCCATCACCTAGAACACTGGCCAATTCCTGAGAGCCCTCCCCATTTTCCATAATCTGATGTATTTCACCTTTGTCATTTAAACAAAACTACAGATATTTTAGCGGACGGATTGAAGCTTCAGCTCATTAGGATTTTGCTGTCGGTTTCCCTGAAATCTTGTAAACCAGACAGATTGTTTCTTAAACTGTGGAAGTTTATTTTTCTTTTTTCTACGTTCAGTCCTCCTTTTCTCCCTTTCTTCTTGCCCGCCTTCCTCCCCTCCTTTTTTCTTTCAACTGTAACAGCTGAAAACCAGTAACTTGAAGCCTAGTCCAAACTTTTGATATGTATTTACTAAACTTCTATTATAACATAGTTGTCTTGCCATTTCAACTCTCTTCTAAATCCATTCTATTTGCTTGTTAAACCCTCTTATTTTTGTCTCCCCCAAACATCATTTATACCATTTTCAGAGGTTTCCTTAAATGTTTTTGTATTATTTCATGGCTACCATAAAACAGAATGAAATGTCTTTTAGTTAAGAGTTTTCAATTTTTGAATATTGATTGTATATCAGCTTCAATAAGTTTAGATCCTTGTAAACAGCTATTTTTATTTTGGGGAGAAGTTTAATAGCTAAACATCCAGGCATATGGAACTCATCCACAAGTCACCTGATTTATTGCTTGACTTTCTTATGATTACATTAGTCTTGAAGAATGCTCCACTCTGTATAGTTTTTTTTTCTTTGGAAATATGTATTATTAATTGTTTAGAAAAGCTTATTTAAATCTCACTATACCATCGGTCTATCTTAGTTAATATAGGTGATACTTAAGAACAATAAAACAATGCATTGTGAAAAAACTTACAGAAGAATTTTAGACAATATAAAGCAATACTAAAATGAATGGTAGAGGCAAATAGTAGGAATTTAGAAAAGCAAACGATAGAGAATAGTGGTCGACTCCCAGGGATATTAATTTGCATAGGACTATGTGTTTAGTAGAAGTTGGGCATGGATGAACAGAGAGAGAATCATCCCTTCTTTATGTGACAAAAACAAATAGAGTTTTAGTACATTTGTAAGGTCCAGCATGACAGACCTGAATTACAAAAATTCCTGAAATGTTAATATAATCCTTTTTAAAATGTGAGTATATGTGTTGATGTTAATAGTATTACTATTTGAGTAAGAAGTCATTGTTGAGATGATCAAAACTTGGAGCCTAGTGGAAGTTTTATATTGTTTAAACTTTAGAGAGCACAGTCTTAAAATAAATAAGGTAACACTCTGACTTTATTTCCTTTCAGCTTTGACTACTGATCAGTGACAAAATTATGAATAATCAGATAATGGCTAGTCCCATCAGCTAGTTCAGATCTTTTGGAATGTGGTTTTGTTCCCTTTATCTTCTTCCAAATCCTCCCCTCACTCTGATTTTGTTGAATAAAATTGCTTGGAGTATTTAGAAGGAAATTAATTATAAACCTAGTAGCAAAATTTACATTTATCATTCACTCATTATAACATTTAAGGAAATCTGGGCTGCTAGAGGTTTTCAAAAGAAACTTATTTATCTTTCCACTTTGTATTTTGAGCAAGAATTTTTCTCTCAGCTTTACTCCTGTTATTCACCTGTTTACTAGGAAAATCCTACAGATGTGGAAAAGAATCCTTTAAAAAATGTCAATTTAGAAGAAATTTCTAGAAAAATAGATGGTGATAGGGAGTGGGGTGACATACTGATAATTCACTTTAAATGAAAGTTTTTTGATACATAGATGGACTCGCTGTTATATTTATTTAACTAGTGACCTCTCCTACTTCATTGGAAAGAAGGTTTGATTTTCAGAAAGCTAAATGCTCGGCATTTCACAATATACATGTTACTCAAGGAAAGAAACACTTGTCTATTCTTTTCAGGAAATATATCGATGGCATATAATTAATTCTACGAAGATATTTCAGGCTGATATTGATGGGCATTGAGTAGCCATTGAGTGTATAGTTTGAATAGGATTGACATAGGACCAGACATTTTCAACATCAAAAGCTTTCTTCTTAGTTCTTTCTTTGCTTGTACTATGAAAATATTAAATAGGCATTTTTTTTTAAAAAAAAGAGAATATCAGATATATTAATGATATTTATTACTTTGGGGCAAGCTTTTTAAAAAATAAATTACAATATAGTGCACAACATAAATAGGAGTAAGAGTAAACACTAATATTCACTCATAAAAGTAAACTCAGCACCTGGAGCACAAGAAAAAAAGCCAGAAATAAGCAAAACAGGCCTCACTGAACTACTAAAATAGATATCATAAAAGTCAAATATGTAAATTCATGTATTTTTACTCTTAGATAGACCCCTCAAATTCTCTCTCAAAACTATGAACTTTTACTTTTCACACAGTTTTAACTCCCTTCTTTATCTGTTTTTCTTGAGGACAGGATATCAGTATCAACAAGTAGGTCGGAGAGAAGAAAATAGCTGGAGGTGAGCGCTTTTACCACCACAAAGTAACACCAGAAGGAAAAACAAAACAAAACATTAAATAACATACATGAATTTTCTAAAAGTGTTCAGTATTAGTTGGAGACATTTAACATCATGAGAAACACTCTCTGATGGTGAGCAGTCAAGCAAAATGTGTAAAGACATGGACTTTGAATCCTGCTGTTTTCACTTACTAGCTGTGTTATCTTGGAAAAGTTCTTTAACTTCTGTGCACCTCTTTTACTTATCTATGAAATGGGAATAATATCCCATGAGATTTTGAAAGGATTGATTTACTATATGAAAATAACTAGAATAGTAGCTAGCAATAGCAAGATCTCAAATAAAAAAATATATAGTCAATAACTCTTGAGGCAGTATCAATATATATGTCATTAAAAGACATAAAGGTAGCAATTTGTTCAGTATTTCCTTTTAAGAAGGCTGAAAAGTGAGTGATACACTTTAGAAAGATCTTGCTATGAAGTGATTGACCTTGGTAAGTAAAAATTTGTAAGTGTGTGGTATATACATACAATAGACTATTATGCAGCCTTAAAAAGCAATGGAATTCTGATACATGCTCAACACGGATGAACCTTGAAAACATTGTGCTAAATGAAATCAGCCAGACACAAAAGGACAGATATTGTATGATCCATTTACATTAGATACCGAGAATAGTCAAAGTGATAGAGCCAAAAAGTAGAATAGTTGTTACCAGAGGCTGGGAGGGGAAGCTCTTGGGGTTGGGGGTTGATGGTGGTAATGGTTGTACAACAATGTAAAAGAACTTATTGCCACTGAATTGTATACTTGAAAATTGTTAAAATGGTAAATTTTGTTATATATATTTTAGCACAATAAACATTCTAAATGTTTAATTAGGCCTAATATAAAGTTATATAAATTTTTGAAATTCAGAAAACTTAGAAAATAATCCCCAAAAGTCATTTATCTCTCCGTAGCTCAAAGTAATCACTCTTAGTAATTTAGAATATTTTCTTTCTATCTTTTTGCTATGCTTATTTCAACTTAGTCTTGATATGCAGTAAATACAATTTATACCTTAGTTTTTCAACTAATCCTGTATTTTCCTATGACATTAAAAACGTGTACATTTTTAATGAGTGTATAGCACTTCCTTATGTGAACATACCGTTGTTTATTAAACCATTACCCAATAATTGGCCAGTTATTTGCTCTCAAATATTGTTATTGAATCAATTACATACAAAGAACATCTGTGCTCATAAATGTTTTCTATATTTAGATTACATTAATAGGATAAACTTATTCAATTGCAATTTTTATTGAAAACAATTTTTTAAAAAAGCAATGAAGAGCCAAATTTTTTGTAAAAAGATTTGTACCAATTTTCATTCCCTTTGAAAAGCATACAAATACCCATTTTATCACACACTCTTTGGCTACACTTTAGAATCACTTAATGCACTTTTAAAATGTTTGATATTCAAATTGAACTCATAAGGACTTTAAATCCAAATTTCTGAGACTAGGCCTCGAGTGTCTGTATTTCTTAAAATTTCCTAGGTGATTCAGTAGACTAGCCATGGTTGAAAACCACTCCTTAGAGTAATGTTATCAAGCTTGCTCTAACATCACTAAGGGTGGGGATGG